ATATGCGCGTGTCCCAAATAGCTTACATATCAAAGAACGGATCCTGCAATTTGATTGTCCATGCAAGTTTCGGCCAACTCGTTTCCCATGATACAAATGGGTTGGGTACGTCACAGGGTAATTTTATTTCATTCTTTGTTCCCCCAGCTTCGCCATCGGGGGCCTGTCGCCGATCTACAGCGGAGGCCCATGCCGAGAAACACCCTGCTTGCCTCCAGGGTGCCGTGGGTTTCTTGGGTTTCGATGGTTTTGAACTGGAGGGCGTGACGCTCCCGCACCACAAAGTCAATGGACGTCCTAGGGTCCCAGGATCGGGTTTCTTGTGGAAGGTTTCCTGTGGTCGGGCCTCCAGTGTACCCTAGAATCAATTCTCCTCTGAGTCTACGGAGAAATGCGTAACATGTTCCGTACGTTTGTGGCCATTCCAGGTATATTTTTGTGCGTATATGACGCAGAGCGGGTGCAAATCCATCTGGGGGGTGCATCGATTCTCAAGTCTAGATCCCCTGCTGGGATTCCCCAGGACTTGATCATCACCCTCGGAAGTGAACAAAAAACGTCTCCAGGGTTCACCGAGAGTAGCAGTGAGTCGGGCATGTCCCTCTGCAGGGCGAAGATTCAAACATCAGGAAACAATAGCCAGGGGACGGTTCTTTGACCATCGTTGGTTATGTTTGAACATTTGTTTGACTATTTCAATTGTTTTTCGTGCAAGGTCCGCCTGTACAGTCGGGGCCCTGAAGAAGGAACCCTTTTCGTTGAGGAGGGGCTCGGTGTTCCTTGATTGTTGTGCAATGTGCCTGAGGTTCCCCCAAGGTTTTCTATCGGAGATCGAAGTTTAACTCTTGGGGGGAAGGGACCTCGTTCCTTATTTAGGGTGCCTTAGGTCAACGCCCTGACTGTCGGAGGACGTGCCCGGCCCGAGAGCAGCGGCGGCCCTCCGCCTCGATCTCCGCCGCGGCGCGGCGGGGGTCCAGGCCCTCCGCGGCGGCCCCCGTGGGGGGGGGTGGGGGGGGCCCTGGCCTCGTCTCGTCGTGGCGTCTGTTGGGACGGTTTTCAGAGCAGATGTTAAGTCGGGCATGTCCCTCTACAGGAGGAGTACGTATTCAAACATAGTGAAAAGATAATCGGAGGACGATGTCTTTGATTCTGTTTTGACTGGTTCTGAATATTTTTCAGTACAGTCAACCATGATAGTAAGGATGGGGCATCTCTCCAAGGCTACCCTTGCATCCTTGCCCCTTCGGTATTCGGCATCCTTCGGCATTGTGCTGCGCTCCGCACGGAAAACGTCAACATGGCGTTCCAAGGCCCTTGCTTCTTTACCGCGCATCCTTACTATCCTGTTCGAGTGTATTGCGAAGGCCTTACGGCCGTTGCCGCCGACCCTGAGAGCGACGAAGATGAAAACGAGGGGGGGGGGGCAGGGTGGAGGA